TCTGACTCTAATTACTCTCCAAGTTCAACTATTACCGCAGATTTCATGTCATGCTTTGAACTCCACAGGAGGCTTTGGGATTCAGCCCCAGGCTGTTAGAGGAGAAACCCATTGAGGAATGGTGCCTTCCCAAAGGAAAGTTGTGGGCATAATACAAGTGCTCTCCTGTTATTGGATATGCTGACTGAAACAGTCAAATATTTATTCCTGTTTGTTGAAACCCAGGACGACTGTTGTCATTGAACGAGGTAATCATCCTGACGATTGCCATAAGAGGGTAGCCAAGCTCCATGTTTAGTTAGGCACTAATTAGTCTGTGATGTTTGAGGTTCTCCGCTGTCTTTAACTTGTCTGGAGGCGCGTTGAGACGCGAGCAGCCGCCAGGAGATGTGAGGAAACGACATTAGTCTGCTCCCGGAGCCAGATTTCAGCACCACAGTGGGCTGGACAGCTCCCGAGTGGCTAACCGGAGGAGGCGACTGTTTCACTCTCAAGTTTAACTTAAGGCACAATCAGGTTAAAACAAACGGTCAAAGTAACTAAGTCATAGTTTTCAAAGGTGTCTGAACGTAAAAGCTACTTCCAGATGTTCACAAAAGCACAATGTGGGAGTTTCTCTGTGTTTTGACTGGATGCATTGATGCCTTAACTAATGATGTCATCTCCCTTTTCTTTCAGGAATGCTGTTGAGGGAAACAAGAAGTTATTCGCCATCTATGACACAAGGTGGGACATGTCACAACACACAGCACATCAGCTCCAGCTTAACATGGACATGCGTGTCAGGCACGCACACACGTGCACGACCTTCCTCCTAAAACGATCCCTTTCCCCAGCTGAATAATTCATGGCCGAGCTCAGCATGTAAAATCAGGATAAAAGAGGCCTTTATGAGCGATTAACCGGCCAATCAGTCGGAGGCATCGGTTAATTGGCTGATAAAGGCAAGCCAGTCCCCACTCCATGGTGGTTCAGTCCCGCCATTTTCACTGGAAAAGAGAGGGGAAGGAACAGGAGCTGATGGGGGGGGGGGGTGCACTGTAAAAAATATCTGTTTAAAACACAGGAGGTTCTCATCGCTTGTAGCTGAAAGTTTATCACAGCAGAAAATGGTATTTAACAAATACATTTAAAAAAAGATAATCAACGGGCGAATCACCAATTAAAACCCCGCACAAAGTGGACGGATTTAAGAAAACTCTGATTAGCTTCCTGTTTCAAAAGGAAAACTGGCATCTTCTTCCAGTGCCCATTCAGGATGGGGCTTTGAGGCTTTATACTTTTGTACAATGTGGCATTTTACAAATAATCTAAATACTAACTAGTCTGTATTAACTAATCTTTGTTGAGTTTGGTTATAGTTGACTAAAATGACCAAACCAACGTCATCTACATATGTGTTAACATTTCCATTAGAGGCTCAAATGTCTAGGGTCACATTGAATCATAGCTATCTAATTTTTCCTTCGTAAAATCAGTTATTGATAAGAAAAAGCGTTATTATTTATAGCAGCTGAAGCAAACAGGACAGAGTTGTGTAGTAAAACTGGATGGAGAGCCTCTGATTGTGGTTCGGTCGGGGGGGGGCAGACGGGGGGGGGGGGGGGCAGGTCTCAGGCTCCTCTGGGCTGCTGGTATTTTTTGCAGCGTGCTAAATGTTGGGCTGTCTTTGGTTGGATCGGCCGGGCTCCTCCACCTCATCCACCACCTCCACCACCAGCGCGCGCCCCTCATCAATATGCGCTCCTGCTCCTGAACGTGAGCCCCTCGCGAGCGGAGCGCGGCCGGGATTTGGAGCAGGGGGGGGGGGGGGCTTTGACAGCTTTCCTTCCTCTGCGAGCTGCGGACTTTTTGCGCGCCTCGGTCCACTTTTTAAAAAAAAACCCAAACAGAAAAAAAAACAACGAGAGGGGTTGTCGATCCATGGATGTGCTCCGGGTCTGAGGGGGTTCTGGTGATTGGAGGGAGGCTGTTTTTGCTGCTGCTGCGGGGATTTGATCATAAAGCGGGTCTGCTCAGAGCGGGAGGATGTTTGCCTCGCAGGGGGTGCGTAAATTCCGCGTCCTGTCCGCGCTGGTTATCGGCTCCATCGCGTGCTGCGCAAAAAGGTGAGAGCGTTGTTTTTTTTTGTTTTTTTGGGCGATTTCTCTAATGAAGGAGTCAAGGTTACAGCTCGGACTGCCTGTCACAGCAGCCAAGGTGATTTTCTCATGTCTGCGCTCTCGTTTCAGCGTCAACGAGCCCAGCAACATGTCTTTCGTGAAGGAGACGGTGGACAAACTGCTCAAGGGCTACGACATCCGACTGAGACCGGACTTTGGAGGTATGCGCCGCGTCCCCTAGCCCCCTCTTACCGATGAGCCCTGCTTTATTTTTGGCGCCATTCGCAGTGTTGTGGTCAGGTGTGGGGGAGTGGGCCCGCGTGCATAATCATCTGTTTTTAACCTCTTCCAGGGGCCCCCGTGGCAGTGGGCATGAGCATAGACGTGGCCAGCATAGACATGGTGTCAGAAGTCAACATGGTGAGTGGACATCACTGGCTTCCTGTTTCCCACAGCCTCCTCCTCACACAGCAACAACAATTAATGGACACATTCCAGCTCCTCTCATCTCAGCTCTCCTCCTGGATCTGTTTTTCCTCTGCAGGAGGACTCAGATCCTCCTTTTTCTTTGCTTCTTTAGCCTCTCTTTCCGGCTAACCGCCCCCCCCCCCCCCGAGGCTCCTCTGGGCTGATATCAGACACCCCTGATTGGGTTTGCTCATTTCTAAGCTCAAACCCCCTTTTTTTTTTTTAAATGTTGACACGTGCTTCCGCAATCAGGAAAGTAACTCGGGGCTGTTGTATCTTAAAATATCAGTTGACGATGACCCAAATTGAGGCGGGATATGAGTGCCGGCGGCTGTGTTTTCCTGCCCTTTGAAGAAGACGTCAGATTTGTGGTTGGAGACGCTGGTACCAGATCCCCGGCCTGTGCAGGTGCTGCCGCCACCACTCCCAGGATCAAAATAAGAGCCTAATTGGACCTTTAGGGGAACAGAGGCCTGTCACTTGCAGTTTGTACCTTGATAGAGAGTCGAAAGTAAAGCAGAAAAGGACACATTTCAAAGGATGTCAGAGTGAAATCAAGCTTTATTTTGCATTGAGATATTTTGGTATTTCCCAATGGAGCCTTTAAAGGGACTGCATCTGAATCAGGATGTCACTAATTCACATGATTTCTGTCCCTGTTGTCAGTCTCAGTCTTATTATGACTAAAGAGCCCAGATGTGGGCCTCCAGGGCGGCCATTAGCCCTTCGGGGTGCATAGGTCCAGGAAGTGCCGTGGGGACAGAAATGGGCTCCTTTCTGCTGCTGTTTTGACAGAGTGGAGACGAGCGTCAGCTCAGATCACTCACAGGATGAAGATCGGACTGGAGAGGGCTGGTTCTCACTGTACAGCTCCAGAAAACTCCCTCATCTGGTGGGAGGTGTGTTTACGTGTGTGGGCGGGTGTGGATCAATACTAATGACTCAATGATTACTTCACCAGGTGACTCCTGGCTTTGACAATTGATTTTTCAGCCTGTTCTGGTTGTCCACATACTTATTTCTCCCAGGAACTCTTCACATGTCCAGAAAATACAATCAGGATGAAAACAAAATGGCACTGTGGCTCATTTAAAAGGGTTTAAAGTACCAGAATCTATAAAATATAACATAATTTGATCCTGTCCAGGTCCTGAAATAACAGACAACCTGTGACAGTGTCTGTTTAACCGAATGGAGACTATTTCCAATCTATTTGCAGTCCATTATTAAAGCCCCATCCAGCCCTCAGTAAGCAGGTTAGAGGTCAAGACCGGACACTTTCACTTCCGTTTTACTGGTGAAGCACTAAATCTTATTAGTTTCTGGTTTCAGGAAACTTTGAAATTTTGCCTTTCCAAAAAAATGTGTCCCAGATTGTGTCGTGTTTGAGAACATTGTAGGCAGTAAGTAAGTAAAAAAGTGGATTATTTCTCTCATTATCGCTATTCATTACCACTGGAACAACTTCCCTTTGTAGCTGGAAGTTGGAAATGTCTTGTAAACCTCAGAGTCGTCCTAGAAAATGACGCTGACATTCTCCTCTTTAGCTAAGAGCAAACACATGAGCAGAGCCCTCCTGAAAGCCTTTCTTCTGCTTCTCGTGGTTGTTTTTGAGCCAGTTCAGAAATTAGTGGGTCGAGCGGCAGTGAAATGACCCTTTTTTCTGTTTTTATGAGCAAAACAAAGATTTCCTTTGAATATTTAATGGATTTTTCTTGCTCAAATTGGTCCGAGTGCAGACGTCAGACTTTGAAGACGGACCTACTTTTTAAGAAGGACATAATTTAATAGTCTTTATTGAAACTTATTCTGACTTTAGAGGCCGACCAGCTCATATCAGCCTGATAAAAGCTTTATATTTCCTTTAAATCCTTTAAATGAGGCCCTGTGGAGCAGCAGAAGGTGAAGAAGTCCACGTCCTACTTGCTGCTGCAAATTAGGACTGATATTAGGAGGCTTTCTCCGAGCGGGTGCTGCCTCATCTGGGGATTTTAACACCGGAAATGATCCGTCTCTTTAGCCCTGCTGCTGTGAGAGGAGCTAAAAGCTTTATTTGCTAACTGTTTAGGTGCTTTCTGGCCAAGCCGGCTGCTCCCCACAGGGCAGATGAAGGCTGCCGATCGTCCGGGGAATCAGAGAGCTGAGATCGCGCCTAAAATGATAATTAATTAGCTCTGTGCCTCCTGGCTGCTGTGCGTCTGTTTCTGTTAATCCTGGCGGCTGTCGAGGTGTCGTCCAGTTCTCGGGCCGTCTGTGGCTCCAGTTTGAGGGGGAATTTTCCTTTTTCTGGAGGGAAACAGACAAAATCAGCCTTCGGTTCAGCCTCTCCTCCATCAGAAACCGTGTAAAGCTTAGAGCTTG